AAGCTTGGCAGAAAGACGCTTAACCAAATTCCTTTAGTTAAGCAAGTAACTGTGAGGAGTGTTGTCTTACTGGTCTGTGTTAAAGGTATTTAGGGGACTGAAGATGTCCTATGGTGGTTATCTTTATACATCCTTTCCAATTTGTAATCTTGGGGTCTGCTTGCGTTTAGCGGGCTAGACCTACAATGTGTCAATCACGATGAACGGCTCTGCACTTTGTTTGGATGTCCGTTTCTGCTTTGCCATTCTATGGATGAGAGTCGAACCAAGTCCATGGCGCAGAAGCGCGGTTTGGAAGAAAACATGAAATATAATTGGGCCTTATAATAATGTAAAAGAATACGGTATGCACCATTTTTGTACATCTTATTTTCTCGAGATATGTGTCGTGCATAATGACCTAGGAAAAAACAACGGAACGAGAGGACCAGAGTGTGTGGAAGTGGTGCTAAAAGTGATTCGGAATGATTTGAGGAGCATTCGAGGTTGTCGTTGCGAGACTTATGAAAACGATAAGTTGGAATAGAAGTCATAGACAGGAAAGGCGAATGGGAGAAACAGGCCGCTCTTTATGGATTTACGGAGATGAAAACGTTCGGCATATCTCCACAATAAATGCTGAAATGACAGGCACGTGGACACTCCCTAGTTTGCGCAACTGTACGCCTGATCGACCGACATTCGGGTCTTCGACACTGGTTCGGTATGGGCGGGCAGATGTAAAGTAAGTTCCACCTCTTAGAGAGGCGATAGTTTGGACAAACGGCCATGTAGGGCTTGCGGTTGGCGAAGGCATGACCATTGGGACAGAACCCTATGTACCAGGGTGGGCTGTGCAACTTGGACGCCAAGTGGACTGCAACAGGAATGGAGAACTTGGCGAAATTATCACTTCGCGGTGGATAATCCCGTCCGGGACTGCGTCTCACTTCCTTTGATTTACTACTGTTGCTACTGATGTTAGTAGCGGTGATGGTAGTTTGAAGCTGGAACTCGGAATTGAGAGTCACATGACTTTTCTCTGGTGATGACGCCCTATGTGGGGACGTCAGAAGCTTTTCTGCGACGGCAAGTTCCCGACTTGGAAGAAAACCATGAAGGAGACAGCGGCGTAGATTTATACGTTTCTGAAAACATTAACCACTTAAATGCACACCCAATCGTCGTTCACTCCGTTATTGTCTGTATATGCGTTTTCTAGTCTATCCATTCTGATTTACTAAAAGTGGCAAAGCGATGCGCGCTTCATTTTAAAAAATGATTCTAGAGTCTCCACATTGTGGGTAAGCACTAACTATTGCTAATACATTAGCACTGGCGTTACTTTATGCCTTCCTATGGAAATGGGAGAGCGTCAGCAAAGGTTACCCGCCAGAAAGGATGGGTGCTGTCCACTCAAAACGATTGCTGGAGCATAAATGGAGCTTGGCAGTCTGAGCTAGGCCTCCTTTCAAAGTGCACTCAAGGCCACAAAAGTGCACTCCTTCGATTTTAATCAATGATGGCACTCACCTGCCCTGTGCCACTCAAGCAAGCTTTAAAACCTTGAGCGTAAGGTCATTCATCCGCATCAACTTACACGGACAGTTGGCCTGCCATGCTTGTTGAAACAAAGAAAGTGTTTTGTTGCCTTGTTCCGCAAAAATGCACCGAAATTTTGTGGCTGAGGTATCCATTCCCATTCGACTAATCAAGTAGAAGTAAAGGGACAAAAAGGCAATGTGAACGCACATTAAAGTCCATGAGAACACAGAAATAAAATGCTAAAAGGAGATAGTACGTGGCAGAGGTTATCTGGGATGCAGGATCCAATTCCATGTTTTAGTGCAGTCTACTCTCTATTTTGGCTTGGCTTTTTATTGTAAATTTCACTTTCATCTACGCTTAAGTGCAAAATCCAAATTTCTGCAAAACAAATGTACTGACGACTATCTTAATAATGCGAATATAGCATGCATAGTTGACACTAGACAAGTTCTACTTCTTCAAAACTGGCAAAAGATACTATCAAGAAACTATGGAAATAATGTGCTCCTTTCTAGTTCTGCAATAACGGCAGGAGAGTGTTCGATGGTATTTTCGAATTTCGTGCGAACAAGTGAAGGTAAAATTCAACCAACACCAAGTCACTTTTAAAACGCGGTAAAGCTTCCAAGACAACAAATTTCCATCGATCCGTTCAAATGCGAAATTCTATTTGGGCACCGTCCATCAAGCATAGCCTTTAAAGCTAACTTTTCAGACTACAGCTATTGTTGGATTATATGAAATGCAGAGAGAACGTACTGGTCTGGCTGAAAGGGTCATGGGTCTGAGCAACTACCTCGCTAGTTGAGTTGCTCCTCGAAATGTAGGCGCGTGTTTCGGAGTTGTAGAAACGGAAGACCGGAAATGCAGTCACAGCATCAAAGTCACCAACTCCACTCTTCAGCTGAATGGTCTGAGTGCGGGAATCATCACCTCCAGAAAGACAATTAGGAAATGTGGAAAAGGAATTGGCTACACTGTAGATCCATGTATTGAAAAACTCGAAGTTTATTTTCGAGTTTTGACTCGCGATTGGTAAAAGCCAGTTTGTTATTCTTCTGTTCGTGGTGGCAACACGCGGTCGAAGGAGGTTCGAAAACGGAGTCAATGACTCCGCTTTCTGTTGTTGCTTGTAAACCCTAGCACTAGGCTCAAAGTTGAGACCCTAAAATAAATCCATGCATAAACTGTCAGACCTATATTTGCTCCTACCCCCAGTTCTTTTATTGCTATAATTGACTTATGTTATTTTCAGATCAAGAAACCACTGTTCCGCATATGGTATGAAAAAAATTACTTGCCAACATCTCTTTAGCCTATCAGTTAAAAACAAGGGAGGTTCTTCTGAATATTGCATGGATCATAAAACGTCGAATAGTCAAATGGTTGCAAAAAAAGAGAACCGTGTTTTCCCCTTTCACTTGGTTTGAAGGACGAATAGTGGTTTTCCTCGGATTCTTCAAAGTCGTTTGCAACTATGGAACGTACGCTAGCAATTCAAAATGTCACAATTGGTTCCCCATGGAGGCTTACTTGAGTGAATTGTTCAGAAGGTCCAGGCATTGTTAGGGTACAAAAAATTACAACCCATACACTAAAAGGAAAAGAATGGTGTTTTAAATGTCACATATTGATTTTGAGTTTTATTTGGTGCCACTTGCCAAAGGAGCTGACTCGCACCTTCCTCACAGGCATCAACATGAATAAGCATAAACTAAATCGTCCTAACTTAAATTTTACGGAATAATTTGAAGAGCTGTCTGAGGGTGACAAATAAGTTTGATGAAGTCTTTTTTTGGACTAACTGCCTCTTGCGAATTTTATTTTTTTTTCATTCAAGGACAATTCTTCTTAATAATGTGATGCGAGTCGTTGAGCAATTCGCTGTCAGATTAGGGCTATAAGGCTTACACAAGCAATTATGACCTAACTGATGGTTTGCATTCAACATTGCTTGGAATCGTACTTTTTTCCCTGGAAGTGTACAGATGTTTACAACATCATCTGACTTCATTAAAAGATCCTGAAGGAATCAAAATTTTTTTAATGCAAATCACCGCCGGCCAAGTCTCAAATGCCAAATGGTATGGGAGAAGTGATCCATCAGTAGCTCAGTAGGTTGTAAGTTCACTTTCCACAAACGACTCACGCATGTAAAACTTTGGAGACACCATGCAATTGCATAGCGTTTCCAATAGCATGGCAGTTCAGAAGCATGCAATGTAGCCAAAGGCTCCTCAAATTTCGTGTTTCTCAAAAAAAAAGCGGTGACAATATCAATAAAAATGCAGCCACGCCGTCTGTCCGACTCAGAAATTTCATTCACTGTACATGAGTCATAAAATGGTGAGCATTTTCATTTTACCGTCGAAGGTAAGCTTTTCAGTGCTCTGGTTGAGTTGGGAGTCCCAGCATCACATGTCCCAGTAAGTTGGTGCAAAATAGGACCTAGCCATGGGCCAATAGCTGTAAGGCTTTAATTCCTCGGGAAATAGGAGAACGGTTGTTTGGGACAAAAATGCACAAACTCCACAAGATATCACGCATGAACGGCAGATAGTTGTTTGCGTGTCTGTTGGACAAGCTGATACTCCACCTCCCATGGAGTGGGTCTTCCGGATCATCCATGTGTGTGGTTTATGCGATAGACCAGATAGAGAATGAGAGATGATAAGCCGAACGTGTTGAAGGTCACATGTCTGGTACAATTTGGCTCCCCTGTTGCGGCTGCCTCGGCACGGTCCTCACAGCCCCACTCCCCCAGCATCCTTCCACACACATACCCTTCACCTTATCTTTCCATTCTTCGTTACAAATTCCCGCCTTTAGACATCATCGAATATATCCCAGCGGCCGGTACACTTTATAATTACCAACACACATGCATATAAAAGCATGAAATTAGGCTAGTGTTCTGCCGGCGAGGAGGAGCGTACAAAATTATACTGAGCCGAAATCCCACCTACAATGTGTGCGCAATCGCGAAAGGTTAAATTATGACAGGTATTATTAATTGATTTGGCGTTGTGCAGGCCAACCGACCAGGTTTGCGAGCGTGTGAAACAAAATACAGGGAAACAGGTTTCTTACTTTTTCCGAAAAATCACAGTTTCACGTAAATACGGATACAGGCGTAGGGCGTAAGGTGAATACTATAGACAAGGTGGGCAAAAGTATGTCCTCTGCAACAGAATCAATTTAAGTAGAAATTCTTCAGCTTCTTAGCGTAAAACATGGATTGTGCTGCAGCTGAAGATACTACGAACCGATGGAATCAAATATTGTGTCCAAACTGACATCACCACAAAGCGTTTCATATCAATAACTGACGTCACAAATTTGCCAATCTCAGTGCAAGTCGGAGCTTAGAACAGTTTTTTCTATAATATCAAATGTTATTTTTTTAGCATTTTTCACAATCGTTTTTGCAGGGTATGCAAACATACGTTGAAGTAAGTAAACATACGTAATCTGCAGGCAGTGAGCAATGCAGTTAAATATGAAACTTCCTCTGAGGGCGGAAAAATGCATATTGGCCACGATGCATGTCCATTATTTGGCAGGATCAAATGAGTTCTGGTGGTGTCTAAGTGACAGAATTAACGGTTCGACCTTTAGAGGTAGAGTTCAGATGGAAGTGAGCAACCGACTTATACCTCGTAATATAGTGGTAAGAATCCTCACTGGCCCTAACACATCCTCATTAAATCGACTCGTTTGTTCAGAGGCCATGAAGACTAGAGAGGAAGAGATGTTGTGCCAACAAAATTATAATTGCTGTTAATATCACAAGATACACGTGCGTGTCGACATTTGTAAAGATCTTTTCAAAACGATATCCTTGAGTTGGTTGAAGAACTGTTAATGGCCGCCTAAATAATTTGTCTTTTTTAAAAGGTACTTCATTCTGCGAGACGAGTGAATCTAATCCATTTGCCGTGTCAACCTGTGAAAAGGGCAATCATGCAGACAATTTGACGCCATTTGAAAACGAATTCCCCACACTATCGGAAGGGCAAAGAGTTATCAACCGCTACGTACCGATATTTAAACTGAACGCTAGATTTGCTGCTCCTAATTCGACAGGACGACAACGCAGTAGGCGACTGTGGTTTGGCAGGTGGGATCGTGGAATACATGGAATCTTCCAACCCAGTAGAACATAGCTCTTAGATACGAAGATGCAGGAGTTGACCGTAAGCGTGTGTGACGGCCAGATTGTTGGTGCTGCTGCTGGTGAAGGGGATGATGGTAATAATAATTTCTTTTAGTCACTCCTCCAGCCCCCGACAGCAGCAGCTTCATTAAGTTTGCAGATACAATCCAGTGGATAATGTTGCGTTTTTTTCTAGGTACAATTTCAAGTTTCACTGAGTCTACTGCAATGATGCACGCAATCTGTAAGAAAAAAAATTGCAGCCAATCCCCCTCCCTAGTGTATAGAATCGCTAAAGAAAGTGTCACGCGAAATTGCCATTTGTTTACACGAATATCAACCACAATGTAAGAAAACACTAGATTCGTAACTTTCAGTGTTATACAGACTCTGTATCATTGTTTGTTGATGTCAGAAAAGAACTGCCACCATCGAAAGAAACGAGCCGCCTCAGCTACTTTCAAATGCTTACAAAAATAATCAACTAGGCAAATTTTATTTACTGATAATGCATAGTTATGGGGTAAAAGTTGTGCTAACTAAGAAGTTCAGCTAACTTTGAAATATTGTCTTTAGTGAAAAGAAGTAGGAGCAAAAATGATACTGGAAATGCTCTGCAGCATTAATCCGAAATCGACTTCATTGAGAGAATGCTTCTTGTGTAGTACATAAGCTTACTTTCGTGACTACTTTCGTTTTCTATTCTACAGCGCTCGAAGTCTTCGCAATTATTAACCAGTTAGTACTTTTAGAAATCTCAGTAGCTTTAGTGGAATGGAGCGCGATGGGTGATAATGTTTAGACCAGAACCTTAAGTGTGCCACCGATAATAGATAGCAGTATGGATGCCTTCACTGCAAATGATGTTGAATGCACTATTATTGTTTAAAAATCTTTCCACTAACAATCAGGCTTACAGATCAAAAGTTGTAATAAAAAACTAATTTCAATAAGGTAAAATTTTGATCAACTACTTAGGCTATCATAGATATTTTGTGTTTGATGTTTATCTTAAGAGATTTCAAGTTAATCTCTCGCATAGAAAAACAAATTTCCTCGTGTAACATTACGTAAACAAGCGACGCATCCGCAACAAGTAATATCAAAGCATGATTGTTTTCAGCAAAATTTGTAGCTGAATTTTTAAACAATCCAAAGAAACAAGCGCAAGTAAAACCTTTAAGAAGCCTCAAATGTTTGAATCCTACTGCACTAGCTAGCGGTGAGCAAACAATACTATTGGCCACTTCCATATCGCAGGAAAGACAGGTCGAACTCGCAATATATATTGAGCCAACCAACAAGACTAAAATAACTGCGGGCCAGGCTTTCTTAAAAAGACATTGTTTGCTTGTTACGAAAATTCCATTTTAATAAGCTGTCTACAAATAGATCCAAAATATTTTTAGAACTATGGGATATTAATTCAAAAATAAAAGATTATCAAAAGCTAATTAATATCGTTATAATAAGAAGCTACTTAATTACCTCTACATCAGTAAAATGAATATTTTCAAACGGAACCATAAAGAACGAAAGGCAACTAAGTTAGTACTGCATTTAGATAAGCATACTTTGAGCGTAGCTTAATTAAATAGAAGTATTAATTAATATTAGTCTAGGACAGGGTGCTAGAGTCTAGCCCTGCCTGTAAAACAGGTAAATTTCGCATTTAAATTATGCATAGACTGATACCGCACGATTAAATGATAAATATATCAAGAAGAGGGCAGTTGACATTATGCTCATACAAATTTTTGAAAATGTTTAATGCGTCTAGACTTTTATAACATGAAATTGAATACGCTGAACATTAGCTGTTAAAGTTACCAGCATGCAATCACTAAACCAGCACTGCTAATTCAGTCTAAAGCAGTAATTTAACAACCTTGTTTCGCAACGCAATCAACAAATAATGGCTACGACGACAGGTTCACGCATGCGAAAATATATGCCTCAGAAAATCAACTACGCAAATTAAAAGCATAAAAAGATTTCCTGCTTAATACAAAAAACACGTTAATAAAAATTCTGACAATCGTTGAAGTAATCAAGGAAGATGACAAGGAGCAAACAGTCGGGAGGCTGTATGCAAAAATAAGTTTTGTCTTGTCGATAAGTGCTGATGAATATTATTTATAGCCTTAATGTAAAACTAAATTAAAAGCGATACAAAAATAAGCTTACATTAACTATAGTGTGCAATCTAAGTTCTTTAAATAAGATAGTGTAGAAATCACTAATAAAAAAATATTAACATGAAACTACAGTCGCTCTAAAAATTAACGTTTACGGTACGCTGGTGTTATTAAATTGTGATTACGATGCAAGTGTCACGCAGAAATTTACTTATGGTTAGGTGTTTTCAAGCTCACCTATGTACCAAAAAAAGTGCGTGGTTTTGCCTGAAGATGTTTAAAAGGGCGCAAGGTCAGGAGTAATTTAACCTCAGGTGCTCATAAACTTTAGATGCCTGGCCACAATAATTTCCGCTTAAACTTCCAAAAAAGATTATCATAGAATTAAAAAAGCATTAAATAATTATTTTAGTAGTACAAGAATAAAGTTATTAGCAATTATGCACGAAATTTTGTTCACGATGCCAAAATTAAGAGATGCACCTAGCTAAAAGGCACAACATGCTCATCCTTTATCGCAATGTGTTTTTGAATAAGACTCGTAAAAAACGTCTTTTATACAGCCCTACAAGTC